GTATGGCCTTTGGTGCAACTTTTTTTTTTTTTTAAGGTTTCTGATCTATTAAAGAAGCTCTTAATGAGTACAGATAAAGGTTAGCATTAAGATGCTATCTGCTTTTAGATCGATTCCTCCCAAATTTCGAAATTGTCGACATTTCGATCGGGGAACCGGACTTAACCGAACACCGATCCTACTACTCCTATCACCTATCAAAAAAAAAAAAAAAAAAAAAAAAAAAAAAAAAAAACGAAGGCTTCTCAAATCCTCTCATCTCCCTTTTCCTCCTCCCCTTATCCTCCGTTTTCCCTTCCCCGTATCCACGTTTTACCTCTCTCTCTCTCTCTCACTCCTCTCCCCTCTTCTCCTCCTCTCCTCTCTGCCTCTTCCTCTTCCTCTCCCTCTACATCTCCCTCTTCCTCTCCCTTCCCTCTCCCTCTTCCTCTCCCTCTCCCTCTCCCTTTCACTCTACATCTCCCTCCCCCTCTCCCTCTTCCTCTCCCTTTCTCTTTCCTCTCCTCCTCTACAGCTCCATCCCCCTCCATCACCCTCTCCCCCCCTCTCCCTCCACCCTCCCCCTCACCCCCTCCCCCTCTGCACACGCCAACAGACACAAGGTCAGCCGAGGTTACCGTCTGCACCGCCCCATCCCCTTGCCTCGCCTCCTCCTCCTCCTCCGTCTCCTCCTGCTTCTGCCTTTCTAAAACCTGGTCGGCGGATCTGGACCGGCCGGGGGAGCCTGTTCGTTTAGCATCCCGGTCAGCTGACACAGATTTTCGGGGGGGAGGGGGGGCAGAGGGAGAGGGGGGAGGGGGAGGGAGAAGGGAGAAGGGGGAGAAGGAGGAGAGAGGGAGAAGGGGGAGGGGAGGAGGAACAGTAGCAGGAGAGAGGGTGGTCTTTGATATGGCCGATGTATAGAGGTTTAAAAAGGCTTCCGATGTGGTTTAATTGTTGCTAAAGGGTTTCCACGCAGGGTTGTCTAATGGGGTGTTTTGAGAGAGAGGTGATCCTTTGTCTGGATTTCCCTCTTTCTCTCTCTCTCTCTCTCTCCCCCTCTCTCTCTCTCTCTTTCTCTCTCTCTCTCTCTCTCTCTCTCTCTCTCTCTCTCTCTCTCTCTCTCTCTCCCCTCCCTCCCTCCCTCCCTCCCTCCCCCCCCTCTCCCTCTCCCTCTCCCTTTCCCTCTCCCTCTCGCTCCCCAAACACAGACAGACAGACAGACAAACACAAACACAAAAATGCTTGAATACCAACCAGACACGCCGTACTGGTATCATCTGTCAATACCCGTTTTCTACATCATTTTTCAGAAATACCAAAAAGGGAAGAAAAAAAAAACATTGCACTAGACACGACTTCAATGTGCAACAGCGACACACTGCTCCTCTTGACATGAATTTTTCTTTGAATGGGTCTGTAGAAGAAGAAGAAGAAAAAAAAAAAAGAATAAGAAAAAGATAGTAGAAAAACAAAAGAAGACGAGAGTACAGACTAATAAAAAGGGGGAAAAATAACCGATTTGGAAGAAAAAGAATAGATTATAGATACAAAAACAAAAAAAAAAAAAATCATAATAGAGAATGACAAACGAAGAAAAAAAGAAAAAAAAGATAACGACCCTATTCGAGTTCCGGCTTCCCGAGGGCTTGATGGGCGCGATGGGCGTGATGGGCGTGGCGAGATCCTGAAACGGGCGCCCTCTGGCCGTTCCTGAAATTGGTGTGATGACTCCAAGGCATTTTCCTCGGTTTTCGTTTTCTTGGATTTTTTTTCATGGAGGGGGGGGGGAGGATTGCTACATTATATTTTCATTTTTTACATATTCTTAGAAGTGTTTTTTTTTTTGGGGGGGGGGTGCTTCCACATATTTTCCTATTGTTCCTTTTACTCGTTTTTTCTTCTGTACATAAAATTTTCCTGTTTTATTTTCTTGGAAACTGTAACTGTTTAATCTTTATATTTTTCTGGTGTAGGGGGGGGGGGGGAGTGAAGAATGATGGAGTATTAGCCAATGGCACTGTATCACGGCTCTCACGTAGTGCCATCAGAGAGAATTGGAGTCAAGGACTTTTTCTATAACATTATAGGCCTTTTTCGGACAAGTCTGGACACGGAGCATTTTTTTTTTTTTTGTTTTATAGATATATATTTTTGAATTAAGAAGCTTCTTTTGAAAAAATGTAAGTTTTTTTCATTACTATAGATAAAAAAAATAAGGGAAAAGTAAGAAAAAGACAAGGAAAGAACAAGATAAAAAAAAAAACGAAAGAAAGAAAGAGAAAAAAAGAAAGAGAGAAAGGAGAGAGAGTAAAAAAAAAAAAAAAAAAAAAAAAAAAAAAGTTATGAAACACCAACGAAGGTCAAATTTCTTTTCCGTTAAGCCCAAAAAGATTTCGGTAACGCTCCGGTACTTATGTTAATTCGCAATTTTTATTCATTTATTTACATTTTTTTCCCTCTCTTTTTTTTTAAGATAATCTCGTTACATATTTTTGTGGGGTTTCGGAAAAGCCATTTCGAAGGCGACCGCTGCACGAAACGCGTTAGTAGGTTTACGTTCATGGAGAAAGAGGGAGAGGGAAGGGGGGGGGGAGTGAGGGGGAGGGGGAGATGGAGAAAGGAGAAAGAGAAAGAGAAGGAAGAGGGGAATGAGAAAGAGAGAGAGAGAGAGAGAGAGAGAAAGATGGAAAAGAACGATTTCATAATTTCTCACTAATGCCTTAAAAATAATGATCCTTTTAATTACGCTTATAAAGGTCATGATATTGATAAAGAAAAAAATATACACTACATGACAGGAAGATATCGATATACCGATATAACTTAAGAAGAAGAAGAAGAAGAAGAAAAGAAGAAAAACAAGAATAATGTTGAATATGAAATAGAAAGAAAAAATGAACTAAAAAAATCGCCTCTTACGCATGCGCACGCAGGCACCTTAACCGCAGTCGGAAGGAAGTTGTTAACGACCCAAAAAGTGCAACACGGCAATCAAAGGTGCAATATTGGTTGCATTTCCCGCCTGTTTTTTTTTCTCTCTCCTCCTTCTGCTTCCCTCCCTTCTTCCTTCTCTTCGCTTCTCTTCTCTTCTCTTGTTTTCTCTTCTCTTCTCTCTTCTTCTCCCACCTTTTCCCTTGCTCCCTCTCTCCGATCTCCCTCCTTCACTAACTTCCCCTCCTCCCTCTCTCCTCCACCTCTCCCTAACCCTTTCCCTCCCTCTCTCTCTCTTACCCCCTTCTCTTTTCCCCAATATCTCCCTCCTGCTCTCTCCCTCCTTCCTTTTCTCCCTCCCTCCCTCCCTCCCTCCCTTACTCCCTCACTCACTCCCTCCTTTTCTCCCTCCTTTTTCTCCCTTCCTCCCTCCCTCTCTCCATCACTGCTCTCTCCCCCTCCCTCCCTCCCTCACTCCCTGCCTTTCTCCCTCCCTCCCTCCCTCCCTCACTCCCTCCTTTTCTCCCTCCTTTTTCTCCCTTCCTCCCTCCCTCTCTCCCTCACTGCTCTCTCCCCCTCCCTCCCTCCCTCACTCCCTGCCTTTCTCCCTCCCTCCCTCCCTCACTCCCTCCTTTTCTCCCTCCCTCTCTCCTCCCCCATCCCCCCCCCCCCCCCATCCTCCTCCGCCAACGTCGACATAATCAGGTAATTACAACACCTTGAATACAGTGAAAGCTCGTAGGTCACCGATTTGTAATGGGATTGTCGACTGCAGGATCCGTTTTCTGTGTTATGTAGGGTAGCCTTCTCTATTCTGTAGGATTTGTTTCATGTGGTATGTTGGGTAGCCTTCTCTGTTATGTAGGGTTTGTTTTATGTGGTATGTTGGGGTATCTGTTTGTACTTTGTAGGATTTGCTTAGTTATTTTGGGTATTCTTTTGTATTAAAAGGATTTGCTGTGTCTGCTGTGTTATATAAAATAACAAACCAAACACACACCGGGATAGTTATGCAAGTACCTTACAACAAAGATAACTACAACAACAACAGTTAACAACGTACACACATAACCATTACACCCAACACACTCACATAAACATTACACACAACACACACCCACATAAACATTACACACAACACACACCCACATAAACATTACACACAACACACACCCACATAAACATTACACACAACACACACCCACATAAACATTACACACAACACACACCCACATAAACATTACACAGAACACACACCCACATAAACATTACAAACAACACCCCCCCATATAAACATTACACACAACACACACCCACATAAACATTACACACAACACCCCCCCCCACATAAACATTACACACAACACACACACACATAAACATTACATACAACACCCACCCATATAAACATTACAAACAACACCCCCTCACATAACCATTACAAACAACACCCCCCCACATAACCATTACCCACAACATACCCCCACATAAACATTACCCACAACACTCCAAAAGGTACGAAGAGACACTCAGGCATTTATAACAGCCGAGTAACTGACCACCTGATCACAGCCTTAGAAAGGTCAGCCAGCGGATTCAAAAGGTCAACGCAGATGACAAAGGTCTCCGGAGTCATGCTAGAAATGGGGGGGAGGGGGGGAGGGGGGGAGTTGTGAATATGAAGGAGAATGAATAACTTTTCAAAGGAGATGAAGTTTTATGAGTTAAATATTTTTTTTTTCAATTGTAACAGTAAGCTTAAAACTGGCTGAAAACTAGGTAGGTAGATAGACGCAGATAGATAGTTAGATAGATAGATAGATAGATAGATAGATAAAGAGGTAGATAGGTAGGTAGATAGCGAGAAAAAAAAGAAAGAGAGAAAAAGATAGAGATAGAGAGAGAGAGAGAGAGAGAGAGAGAGAGAGAGAGAGAGAGAGAGAGAGAGAGAGAGAGAGAGAGAGAGAGAAAGAGAGAGAGAAAGAAAGAGAGAGAGAAAGAGAGAGAAAGAGAGAAAGAAAGAGAGAGAGAAAGGGAAAGTAACAAGAAAGGGAGTGGTAGCCGAGTACCCTGATATATAATGCACG